TACTTTGTTTTATTATAATAGATGTGTACAATCAAATGAAAATATTAATTCTTGAAAAAATAATTACAGTTGTTTAACAATATTAATTCTTGTATAATTGATGCAGATGTTTTTAGAATACGTCCTCTCTTCAGAACAATGGTTTTTTGCTATCATCCTTCAGTATCCAAATCGTCAATACGTTCAAGATTTTATAAATTTCATAGATGCAAATCAACAATGTTATTTGATCTGTAGTAATTTTTATAGATTTATATATGGAGCTGTTTTCAAAGGAGACGAAGAACAATTTACTAGCAAGTTGGTACACGAATTTATAATGAGACTTGTGCATTGTGGCAAAAATAATGAACTTTGGGTACTGTTAGATGACCATCTTGCTAGGTTTGGCTTGCAAGAATTTTACCTCATTACTGGACTACCTTGCCATGAATCATCCGTAAAAATTGATTATAATAACCATCGTCTTAAAAATTAATACTTCAATGGCACAAAAAAATTAGCAATAGAATGTTTTTTGAAACTTTCCACATGTGTGAAGATACAGAAGATAAATTTAAACTGAGATTAGTTATGTTGGTTGAGTGTGTGTTGAAACCGACTTCACGACAAGTTGATTATAGAACTCTGGGCATGATTGAATATCTGGATGAGTTCCTTACGTATCTGTGGAGCCGAATAGCATATTTCGTTTTGTTAAATTCATTGAAAGAGTCACAATTGGAAAGAATACTAAGGATGTAACAGAATGGACAAATAGAATGTAAGAATGCATTACAAGGCTATCCACTCGCATTTCAGGTATTATGTTCCTATGCTAATTACTTACGTATTATGTATAATTTCTTTGTATAAAAAATAAAATTTATACATCACATTTCTCTTTCTTTACGTTGCAGTATTGGATATATGAAGCGTTTTCACAAATTGGACAAAAGTTTGGTCACCGTAAACACAGAACAGTGCAAATTCCACGAATCTATAATTGGAGGCCTAATACTATACTGAAGGAATCGGTTGTTAAGCAATTTTTGGATACTCAAGATGTATGAATTTTTTATTTTCAATGTAGAATGACATTCGTATTTTATTATTAACAAGTTCAATTAAACAAATGGATTCTGATAGTTTGTTATGATTACAGATCGAAGTCATTGCAGTGCTGTAGCCTACAGAGGTAGAATTACAAACACCCTGGTACACAAATCTTTCTCTGCCGGCTGAGGATGAACATAATATATTAGATGTCATCGTCACTGGAGAAGTAGATAATGTAGTACCACAAATACCGGATAACATTCGTGTGCAAGAAACAACCAGTCGTGGTACATCGAGAACTTCAACTGGAGTTGGGCCTAGTTCTGCTTCTGGTGCCTCCAGATATGTAACTGAAGACCGAATGGAAGAAATGTTAGGTATGTACAGGCAACATACGATATCAGATGTGTCCAGTCTGTGTGGCAATTTGAAGGCAGAATTTGTTGAAGAATCCAAAGCCCTGAACCAGGATATCCTTGAAAGCCAAAAGCAACTGTTTGAACAACATAACAAATCGATGCAAGATTACATGCTATGTGGTATGCAGTCATGCATGGATAATTCTCTATCAAATATGTTTAGCACTCATATGGCCCAGGAATTGCAACAACAAGAAGCCCATTATCAGGCGATTCTCCGAAAACAAGAAGAATTATTCCAGCAGCAACAGGAGCACATACAATCTTATATTGATACAAGTTTATGTTCTGTCAGATCTTAGATTGACGAAAAGAATGAGAATATGCTAAACAGATTATCTAACTAGGAATCCAACATGGAAGCCATTATAGGTTCCATGCAGCAATGTGTTCCTCTCCATGCAAGTCCAACTCCTACTGTTCAACCGCATGAGACATCAATGTCTCAACCAGCAGAACGTGTTGACATGTGGAGAAGAGAAAGGAAAAAGAAGATGAAATACACACAGACTTCGTCATCCACAGGCCATTCCTTAGAAGACTACGACATGAACAAGTACAAAGACATTAGGAATTGGATATCGAGAAATCAATTTGGGTAACAAATGTAACTCATTCTAAATAGTCCGAATGCTAAACATTATTATATCTATGTCAAAAATTATTTGTTGAATTATTTGACAGTAATTTAAATTATCTTATATAGTGCATATTTGGACGATGGCTGTAGCAATGTCTATGGAAGTTTAATGGATCCGACGAAGGATCTGAATATTGCGATGAGTGAAGGTTTGCAATCACAATAAATTTGATTTCATAGTTAATATGTATAATATATGTTACATATATTTATTGTATTAGCATATTGAGCTGGAGCTGAAGTTATTGAGGCAGCGTATGAATGAAGATTGTGCTCTTGTCAATAAAAAATATGCAATTTTGAATTTTCAATTTGAAGAGGAGTGTTGTCAGCAAATGAGGTGGCACATGGAATATAACCAGACAGGTGAATTGGATGGAACTTGCCTACAAGGCTATGTCAACAGTACATTGCCTGTAGCTGGTCGTTCGTGGATGGGATGCAAGTATTTATTAATTCCAAGTGCATATCCAGGCAATGAATGTTATCTGTTTCTGGTCAATATTCCTGAATGAAAATTTTACATATACGACTGCAGCAATAATGTTCACACACCTGATGCAATCAAGGCTCACGTAGAAGCAACACGCACAGTCGTTCAAACATTATTGCAGTGCCTACCCCTGTCCACCAGACGAGATATAAAGAAACATATAAATGATCCAATGAAGATGGAGATTATACCTTATCTATCATGTGCGAACAATGGGTGAGCGTTTCAACTCTTGTTATTTACTATCGTAGTTAATCTATTGTATATACTAATTTCAACTAACGAAAAATCATTTATTATACAGGCCAAATTGCATAATGTTTGTACTCAAGTATATAGATTGCTTCGTTCTCGGGCATCTAATAGAATCAGTTTCAGCAGAGAGGATGTCAATATACAGAAGAAAGATTGTGGTCGATTTTTTGAATAACGAATACTTTCTTTATCCCCGATAGTGAAACAGTTGTCATGACTTAGCTGTACTTTGCTCGTGTGACTGTTGATGATCAGCCTGTTCATGATACCGTCGTTTGAAATATGTATTTTGCTTTATGTGGTGGTACATAACATGAATTTTGGTTTTATGTGGTGGTACGTAAAATGTATTTTGGTTTACACAGTGGTTTGCATATATCGATTTATATGGTGGTATGTAATATGTTCTCGAACTGTCATTCTAGACAAATGAAATATCAAGCGTCGAGATTCACAGCTATGTAATGTCGCGAACGACATATCAAATATCCGAAAATCGAAGAAATGTAGAGAAATATCGTATTTTGGTCCAAGTGTCATTCTAGACATTCGTAATGTCAAGTGTCGAGATTAACAGCTATTTAATGTCGATAACGACGTTACAAATGTTGAGAACGGCATCAAATGTCAACATAAATATGATCCAACCAAATTTAACTAAGAGTGAAGTCAACCAAATGGTGTATTAATTGCGAAAACTGTAGTAAGCAGCTTTATAATTACTATAGCAGTTAAAGTTGGTATGTCAAGCACAAGTACGTTCTCAACCATATTGATGTGAAAAAAGTTGTAAAATAATCACCATCAATGACTTCAACCATATTGGTTGGTGAGATATCTTATCGTGCATTCAACGGACAAGTGTTTCTCCAGTATAAAATGTTGGACTTTACTTAAATATGTAAATACGAGAATTTAACAAATTAATAGCACTAGTTAGTTTTTCCATTGATTATGTCTTCATCAACTCAACATACTCCTGTTCTTGATGTTACTATCACTTTCGACCCCTCTGGGTCGTCCACGGACAACCCGATCATCATAGACTCGGACTCGAATGATGAAAGCAATATCTTTGTTCCATATGTTCGTCAACCTTCGAACCGCCATCATAGGGTTTGCCTTCAACCATTTCTTTTCCGAATCTAATCGACAAAATTGAACCAACTCAAGTTCATCGTGAGATCGTCCCAGTACCGGTCCAACCGGAAGTACATCATGTGTTGTTGGATGAAAATGTTGGAACTGTTCTCGTTGAAAATGAAGATGTGATCATCATACGCTCCGACGAGGAGTATGACAGTGATATGTCCTCTTTGTCCGTCTTGGAGGATATGTAGAAGATGCAATCATCGTAAGTGAAATGTTTACGTACATATAGTAGTGCTATAAAACCCATATAGGTCATGGATATTTTTTGGGTGATCACCATTTTGTATAATAGTTGTCTACGATATGTATTGGAGTTATGGCTTCCTTTTGTTGTGATTACCATTTTGTCTGCTCCAATGACTTAGGAGAACGAGTCATTCATGGGTTGTTTTTGTATCCATTACCACATTGTGTCTACAATGATTAAGAAAATCCTAGTAATGAAATAGATATGTGCTTGTTCACTTATATGATGAACAAAATGATATCGTAGTGAAATGTTCATAAGAATATATGTAAGCACCATTTCCCTTGTTGGTAGTTATACCCTAAACCTGGCCTCTCTTGTTTGTATTCATTATGACATTCAAAAATGAAGTGTTGTTTGTATTTAGTGAATGCCCATACGAATTTTCCTGTTTGTGCGCTATAAAATTTTGAACGACTAGAATAATATAAGAGAAAAATCACAAAAAATGGATGAATCCGTATAAAGGATTCAAAATATATTACGAACTTAATTTTACAACAAGCAATTGCAAATAAGTGATATCAAGAGAGAACGAAGAAAGAAACAGAAAGAAGTAGAAGTAAAAAATATATTCAATAACATTTAAAACAAGAGGTAGAAAGCAAGTAATACAAAAGAAAAAAATTCAAAATATTGATAATTCATGTTATCAGGGCATTTGACGATCGGAATACACAATGTCATTCAAGTATACGTGTCAGTTAAAGATGTCGAATTCTGACATGTTTGTCTGTTATGTCCAGAACCCCCACATCAGCCCCATTTTCGTCTCAACGTCGACCTTTCAGTTCTTGACCGTTGACGTTGGGTAGGAGGTCGACCTGGTGCTCTACATATATTCGGGGACAAAACTTCGACGGAACGAATAGATTGAGGAACAACCCAATCTGACTCTCGGCCAACGGGGTGAAGAACTTCGTTGCACGCAGCTTGCCAATATTCTGTGGTGTAGTAAGGGGAGTACAAATCATACAATGATTTTTCTTTTGCGCAAGTAGCTCGGGATGCATGTGAACATGAGATTTGTCGCATCTGAAACTCTCGACATGAACATGTGTTACCTATAAGGTCGACAGTACAAAGTTCGGTAGCTATACCTACCTTAAAAACGAGTTCGTCCAAATTTCGTACTGGTAAAGTTGCAATGGTGTCGAATGATTTTCTCAATTCATTATCAATTTTTGGTGTCACAGTCGTACTACATTTCGTGGATGCACTTTTTCTCTCGTAGAACCATCGTTGCATCAATGACGTAATATTTTCGATCAACGAGGTTATAGGGAAACTTCTTTGTCGCCTTAGGACTGAATTCAGTGACTCCGCAATGTTATTTATCATAACGTTGTACTGATTACCAACAAAATATGCTCGTGACCAGGTGGATATACCGGCACGTTCCAAGTAAGATGCCATTGACGGTTGAATGGTTCTTATCTGTGTCATGAACTGATCAAATTCCGATACGCGGTATGCTAGCACTGCCCGCTTGAATAAGATGATGGCATTACTACTGCTATACCTAGCAATAAGATTTTTCTCGATATGCTAGATGCAGACACCGTGGTGAGAAAGTGGGAACAACCTCGTAATTGCCCGCTTAATACTCTTCAACCTGTCTGACATAGACACTAGCTGGTTTGAATCATCAACGACATCTTTCAACTTTGCAAAGAACCAATACCACGATGCATTTGTTTTTCCATCGACAACACTCCACGCAAGAGGATATATTTGTAGGTTTGCACTGCAGCTACTAGTAGTGTTCCCTTATATTGGCCATTCAAATGACTTCCATCAACACAAATTACTGGCCTCATGTATTCTCGAAAATCACGTATACTAGGCCCGAACGCTAAGAAGAAGTACAAGAACCTATTATTCGAGTCGAGTTCAATGTGTGCAATAGTTCCTGAATTTTTCTCGATTAACATGTGACAATATGATGGCAATTTCTGGAAACTTTCTTCGGGTGTACCACGAAGAAATCGAAGTCCCTTCTCTTTAGCCCTCCACGCTTTGTTGTAGGTAATCTGTACACCAAACTCACGTTCCATATCCCCAATAATACTCGCAGGAACGTATGATTGGTTTGCATCATCCAACCTTCGCATTATGTGATGCCCAATTACTGCACTCGTTGCGTGAATTTTTACATTTCGTCGAACGTCTAGAGAACATGTGTGCTCAGGTATGTACTCTCGAATTGTAAATATTTTTGAAGTTTTTGTCTTAGAAGCTCGTACTAGCCAATGACATGTAGTATCGACACAACACACAATAAGAGATCTAGGATTCGACTTTTTAACCTTGAAATGAAACTTCTCTTTCAAAGCCTTAAGTTGAAACCTAGTGTGGAACTGTTGTTTGCTAAAGAATATCTGATTCTCCACAATATCCTCTTCATCAATCGACTCAATTGCATTTCGAATAAACAAATTGCCTTCACCTAAACTTTCATCCATATTATTAATCGTTTGTGGCTCTTGTAGTTCGCACATACCGATTTCATCGCGTCCACACAATGCATCTTCTATTGGTAACAAATGCTCAACTTCGACATGCAGTTCATGCTCTCCAGCATTATATTCATCTGCAATTACATACAACGCCGCTTCTGTGTGAACAAACATAAACCATTGCAAATCCTCATCGTCGGCTACATTAGCAAGGGGTATATTCATGTTCGAAACTGTAAATTTCAATTGAATTCGGAACTTCATTCTATCAACATTCAGCTTCTCGAATAATTTATGTACAAGCTCTTCATATGTAATATCATGTCGAACAACAATTGATGTTGTTCGGTTCCCTAACCACTTTCACCCGTCGTCTATGTTGACGAATCTACCACCATACGAGACAAAAAATCTCTTAACATCTCCCATATCTACATGTCATAAACAACAATATTGTCGACCACTAATGAAAATCGAAAACGAAAATGCTACCTGCATGCAATATGTGAATCGCTATACACGAAATTTTTCCAACTTACTCAAATTTTTAATGTTATTGTCAACATTTGACAGTGTCGAGAATGATAGTATAAATATCATTCTCGACATTTATAAATGTCGTGAATGATATTTATACTATCATTATCGACATTTATAAAATGTCGAGAATGAAATGACGGGATTTTATGCATTTATCATCTTCTTCAACTTCAACCACCATTTTTGTAAGAATTTATTCAACCATAAATGATATTCTAAATACAGAAGTATATTATCTAACTAAGTTATTAAAGATGAATGGTACAAAAAATATATACTCAGAATAATTTCGTCCATTGAAAGGAAAAAATACCTTATCAAAAAATTGAGATTTGAACATATATAACAACAACTACTAAATAAAACTTATCAAAAAAATGAAAGTTCAAAAAAAACATACCTTCTACCAACAAATGACGAAAGCCTAATCAGCTTCAAATTTCTACTACAGTAAATTTCTTAAAATGATTTCTTTGAAGTTGGAATCATATATTTTTTCGTATATGTTAATGGAATTTTTGCTTTTTCTTCATTTATTCTAGAATAATTGATTAAAATATAATTAAAAATGTAAGCAAGTGGACTCACCTAGGTAATAGCAACATTATTGTGGCTTCTTGTGGAAGTTATTTGCTCTTCTTAAAAATTGTGCCAAATTGATATAAAATTGATTAATCTTTTTATGAGGGTAAAGTAGACATTTTGATCTAAAAATTGGACTTTTTGCGAGGATTATAAAAAAAGTACACTTTTCAACTCCAACCCTTATAATTGGACATTCTTGAAAATGCCTCTTAAATTTATTAAATATTTAATTATAATATAACATAATTAATATACTCATCCCACCCTACCTCCAATCCACACCCATTACATCAAACCCTTTCTTTCTCTCTCCACCCAATCCCACCTCCTACGACTTCTCCGGTGACGGCTTCGACGACTTCTTTGGTGACAATTTCAACTATTGTTAAGGTCACAATTTTGCAATTAATGGTCACAAATGCAAAGGTATAGGTCGCAATGTCACAATTTTGAAATTAATGGTCACATATGTATAAGTATTGGTCACAAATTATTTATCGATCATAAATCAAAAACTTATAGGTCACAATTTATTTGTCGGTCACATATTGTCAAATTAATTAGCCATAGATTATTAAATTTTTATGACACAATTAAATTGTAGGTTACAGATAACTAAATAGATGGTCACATTTGTCAAATGGTGGGTCACATACCACCATCACCAACACTATCGCACCGCCGCTACCACAACAACCACTTGTGACCACCTCACCTCGTTCTCACCACCACCGTTGTCGCCAACGCCACAACATTACCACCAACACCCCCTACATCGCCACTGCCAACACGAGCACCTCCATTGTTGCTAGAAACTACCATGATCACCACCAACAAACACACCAACAACACCCAACCCACCATCTCACCAACATAACCAACATCTTCACCGCTAACACGATCACCACCGAAAACCACCACAGCCACAAGGACCATAACCATACCCAGAAACCACCACTAAAAACACATAACAATACACCACTCCACAACCTCACCAACACCACCTACATCAGCAACACAGGCAGAAGTAGCAAATCAGAACCAGTAGCAACCACACTCGTCCTCGGCCACGGTGGCAATGTCGTCACTCACAAAACGTTGCAGCACCGCCTACCATCTTGAAATGGTGAATTCCAATAGTTCTGTAGATTTTATGCTTCATGTGAAGAGACCTAGTATAGGAACAGTGCTAGAAGTACATTTAGAGTCCTCTCCCTTGTCTAAGAAGCACCGAAGTTTCGTATCCACTACTACGTCAGACACCGGAGGAATGGCCGGGTATCGACGGTCAACGTGGGAGGCGAAAATGCTGATGGGACAAATGGCATCGGTGGACGAAATGGTGAGGCACTGATCGAAGACATCGACGAGGATCTGCAAGTTTTTATATACTTATGTGTGCTTGTATATGTTAGTTTGTTGACTGTATGTTAGAGAGAGGAGAGGCGGGATAGAGAGAGAAGTGGTGTGGTAGAGATGGTGAGGTTATTTAGTGTAATGTTGGCGAGGTGGTGCTGGTGATGTGGTGATGACTGTGCTTCCGACATTGGCTAGAGAGAACAAATGCGGGATAGAGAGAGAATAGGGAAATTGGGAATGGGAATGGGAATGGATGAAGATATTAGGGTTTTAGTGTGGGTAGTTGGGTATAGGTTTGGTGGGATGAATGTGTATATTTAATTTTGTAATTATATTTTTATTCGCTTTAATTATTAAAATTTAATTAACACCTGATTGTTGAAAATGAAACTTAATCTCTTGTTTTTTGAAAATTAATCTTTAAATGTTGGTTTGTAGGTAATTTTCCCAAAATGGAATTCCACCCAAATTGTGTGTTTGATGGGCAAAATTTTCCATATTATCCCCCATGTGACCCATTTTTCATGTTTTGAAGGGATTGGTTTTTCTTTGGTTTTCGTGGGAATTGATTTTTCAGCATTTTTTTTTGAACAAGTTTTATTCACAATTGTAACAAATTTTATCCCTTTAATTGACAATTTTCACAAATAAAGCCAAACGAAACACCAAAAGATAGAAAATTTTAAAATTTTTTGGGTGAAAAATTATACCATTCAAACACATTATTGACAATTCCCCTTAAAACAAGTTTTAGGCAACTCAATTCCTCGAAATTCGTTTTCTTTAAATCCAAATTTTATTTTTTACAATCAAACGGATCTTTAGTTGCATTTCTGCAGCCTGGTAGTAAATGCTTTATTGTTTTTTTTTTTTTTTTTCTATAATTTTGGCAAGAGTTCAAATTCTCACACCCACAATCGTATTTTCACTTTTGAAAAATTTGTACAATTAGTCAAAACCTTTAGCACTTGGAAAATTTGTCACAACCTTTAAAATTAGAATTTTCAGTTCTGAACCTTAAGTACCATTTACATTTATACAAAACACTATGCTTAACCTTATTTGTTCATTACTCTTACGTTCTTTAACAAAGTTTTTGAACAAAATATATAGCTTTATTTTCTCCAAATGTCGCTCTCTTTGTCGATTATCTTTACGCCATCGATTATCAATCGTAATAGGTCTTCCAAATTAAAAATTCTGACTTCTTCACTCAATATTCATGTAGCATGATAGTTTTTATGATCTTATTTTACAAATTCATTGTCAATTAAATTTGACTATTGATAATCAAATCTTATATTTTTTTAAACTTAAACCCTCTTAATGTATCTAATAATGGAAGAATATAAAGCATGGCATTATTACAAGATCAAATTTGGAATATCGCTTCTTGCACTTTCATAAAGAATTATTCCCCGTGTCAATTAAAAAAGTAGGGGGAAAAAAAAAAAAGCCAATAAACAAACAAAATGGTTGTTTAATGCTTTTTCTTTAAAATATTCTCAGCACGACTCTTTATCCTTGCTTTTTCATTTTTCTTTATTCCAAATGCAGGTGGCTTCACTATTATACAAATAAGGTGGTGAGTTGGTAACTCGAAACTCTGGTAACAGTCCAAAATTTTGTGAAATTCCATTTTATCCGATTTCTATAATTAATATATCTTCGGAAAAAAAAAAAAAAAAAACCACCCACAAAATGCCCAAAATTGTTTGAGCAGCTTTTACCCAAAAAAAGAAAAAGTCAAACACTCAAAATGATTCTCTGCTTCTCACATGGCTCTTTTAGATTGTAATCATATTTGAGAAACGCATCAAACCACATTATCAAAATTCTGGTTTCATTATAGTCCCCTACTCCATGTGCACGAGGACTTTTGTGAAAATGCCAAAATAGAAATGGATCGCCATGAGATTCCCAAACCATGCATTGGAATGGATATCCTACTTTTAATTTTTTGGACCACATATATAGTTAGTCCACGGGCTCTTCGAAAAATTATAATTCACAAATTTGTTCATGAGTCGAGTCGAATTGAGGCAAGTTCATGATCGAGGTTGTATTTTTTAAAAAAATTAATAAAATAAGTCTAAAATTCTTCAAGGAAAAAAAAGATGATTGCCTATTATTTTCCTTAATTCTTAACTTTTTTCATAATAAATTTATGTGCTTTAAGCTGATTAATTGACTTTATTGTCCTTGTCAAGTTATTGAAATGTCTACATCATACTCATTCAAATACATATATTTTGTGCGTCCAAAAGTGATAAATAGTGTATTTTTTTTTTCTAAATTTAAGCAAGTAATTAAAGATTTAAGCAAGTTGATTACATTAAAAATTTTGAAGTTTGAAGGAAGGTTAGTTTCAGTTTTTAATTTGTAATGTGATACTATGCTTCAACGAAAGCAAGTAGCAGGATTGCTTGCTTGAAATAAGCACTTTTTTGGATTCCCCCGAAAAGAGGCTCTATGGTTTGTTAAGGAAGGCGGCAAGGGCCACCGAAAGGGGAAAAACTTAAGGGCCTGTTCTCTTTGTCGTTTTCAAGTCGTTTTCTGTTTTCGATTTTTCAAAACGGTGAAAACGCGTTCTTCTTCTCATTTTCGAAAATGAATTTTGCAAAACAAAAAAAAAGATTGCAAAGAAAACAGAAAATGCTGAAAAAGTCATTTTGAGTGTTTTGAGTACAAAACAACATAACAACTCAAAACACGCGAAACAACCCAATTAAAAATCAAACCACTTCTCTCTCTCTCTCGCATATCTTCTCTGTCTGTATCTTCTCTGCCTCTCTCTCTCGCGTATCTTCTCTGTCTCTCTCTCTCGCGTATGCTCTAGGGTTCACACCGCTCCACTCTCTTCGGCAGCTCCCGTGAAGATCTCGAGCGTCACCGTCAAATAGAGAAAATCGACAGTGAAGAGAAGCATCCTTTCTCTCAATTTCACGGTTCCAAAACCATTTTCCAAGATATCCCTCACCTAAATCAGGTATGAAGAGTCCTGCTTCTTTAATCAATCTGTTAGTTTGATTTATTCTTGTAAGATTAGGGTTTTTCGCTACTCCTCTGTAATTGAAATTATGTTAGAATAGTTGCTTGGTTTGGATGTCGCAGAACAGCCGAATCAGTTTGTTCGAGAATATTAGAACCATTTTTATTTATATGAATCATATGATAACCCTTCACACCCCTTCACACGTCTTAATAGTGTTTGATGAAATTCCTATGTAGGTTGAGTTTATTTTGGTCTTATGAATCTGAGAGTGTTCATTTACATGCTTGTTTGTAATTTATGAACTTGAATCTTTGTATTCTGGGATTTATATTCTGATTGTGAAACGACTGAAAGGTTTGGGAGCCATTCATGAATCTTTTTATCTAGAATATGTAATTGCTTCTAATACTTTTTATGAAGAAGAAGTTTGAAGGAGTAAAATCTGTAAGTAGATTGGCAATAGATGAGTTACAGGAAGTGGCAGGGTCTGCACTCTGTAACTTGCATTCCTGGGAATTTAATTTGGTGCTGAAATTATTATGTGTTTTGTGATCATGAAATTTATTACTGAATTCCTATTTATCTGAATTCTTGAATTTATCTGGGAAATGGTTTATCTGTGCTTCGGAAGCAGCTTTTGTAATGTAGAGCAGGGATAGTGCGTGAGGGCAAGATAAAAATTCTTGTAGGGATCAAGAAATAGATTCATTATCAATCCTCATTTTCGTGTAATGAACTCCTCAGTCAACTGAAATTTCAACTTTTTCGTTTTCTTTCCATATTGAGAATTTTACAGTTTCATACTTATGTGATGAACTTTTTGATTATTCTAGCTTTCTGGCCTTCTTGCTTACAATGAGAGAGAGGCTTTTGGTTTGAATTTATATTATCAACTTAGTTATAATGACTATCAAATAGTACATGTAGTACAATCGCAAATTTATCTGAATTCCTGATTGTCCTCGAAAATAGCATGCCTCATAACCATAATAGCAAATACAACTTACATAAAATTCATGCACATGTTTTTATATATGTTCAAAACTACAGAGTAGTCATAATGTCAAATTAACTAACAATTTGCAGCTTCTTAAATCAGAAATCAGAATAATCTCATCACTTATACTAAACAAACTCTTGGAGTTTATAGTCTGTTAAAAAACTTATAGACAAATAGCCGAAGAATCATAATGAAGGCAATTAAAACAAAAGCATAGGCAATTATACTTGCACATTAAAAAAATTATAAGGCCAGTTGTATTTCGATTACGTTCTTGTTTAAGCTAATAAGTACAATAAGAAGACTTTCCATGCTTTGGTATTAACTAATAATTGAAAGGAAACCCATTTATCAATCTGAAATCAATTAGAATGTTCCCTAATATCCTGGAGTTAATTAAAGCTGAACTTAAATAGCCTAATCCCTATGTGTATATCATCTACTGGATATAGTAGGGAGACCATTGTTTTATATTTTACTTACTATTGCAATTTTCTAAAATTGTAATAAATGTAATACTCTACTTATTTCCTAATAATTTGATGTATATAAATATAGCTCCTACATGGGTGGTCACAGAGTTAGGAATAAGGAACCAATGTCATGGTCGGACGAGAATGAACACACTTTCATCGAAATTCTTTATGAGAAAGTGAAATCAAATGTATTGCAATGTTCAACATTCACGAAAGACGAATGGGGCAGGATCAATGAAAACATGATAGCTTCAACAAAAATGGATTACGGGATAGATAGATTAAAGGGAAAGTGGAACCGCTTACGTAAGATTCATCGCATGTTCTCTGAACTTTTGGGACATACAGGGGTTACATGGGATCCAAATACCAACAAAGTTAATGCTGCTGAGGAAGTTTGGCAACACTTTTATACGGTACATGTATTTATTAAAGAATATTTTCGTCATTATTTTTTTCTTATCAAATTTATTTTTTTATGTTCAACACTTTGACAATGTGACTTCTTTTCCAATGGCAGATTAATAGGTCGGATTACAAGATGTTCAAGAGGGAAGGATGTAAGCACTACCACACTCTTGGGGAGATATTTAGTGGGACTACAGCTACTGGAGGATTATGCAAAGCCTCCACTCAGCTTCCAAACACATCAGAGGAAGAAAGGCAACTAGAAGATGATTTTTTGAATAGGGGAGTGCATGTACATGCAGAGAATGATGATGAAGTCGATGTGGTTTCTGATACTCGTCGACGTAACGAAATTGGTACATCAGGTGAACGACGACGTAAGGAACCTAAGATCAGTAAAAGTGATAAACTTGAGGCATGCATGGCACAATGGTCATCTACAGTTAGTATGAGGAATGAAGAAACTGAACTTAGAACACTTTATCTGAAAGAAAAGCTTGCAAAGATTCAAGGAAAATCAAGTAATCAGTCAGATGTTGAAGAGGGTGTCATTTGTGAAGATGCCAGAAGCAAGGAGAGGACCTATCTTGGAACTACTTTGATGTGACTGTTGTTTTAATTTTTCTAGTAACGTGTTGTTCTAATTTGTGATGTTGAAATACTACGTTAAAGTGTGACTATTGTTGTTCTAATTTGTGATGTTGAATGTTCTAATTTGTGATGTTGAATGTTCTAATTTGTGATGTTGAATGTTCTAATTTGTGATGTTGAATGTTCTAATTTGTGATGTTGAATGTTCTAATTTGTGATGTTGAATGTTCTAATTTGTGATGTTGAATGTTCTAATTTGTGATGTTGAATGTTGAAATACTACGTTAACGTGTTGTTTTAATTTGTGATGTTGAATGTGTGACTATTGTTGAAATACTACATTAATGACTATGGTTATATTTTGTTCACAGTATGGCCAGTGAATCAAGTGATGATGATTTGTTAAATATGGATGATTCGGAAGGAAATTTTGGAGATTTCATGATGCTTCATTGCTTTGTTGCACACAAAGGAAGTACCATTGGTAGGATACCTTGTAGAAAATCATTGCTTATGGGAAAAATGTACGTGCTCGAAATTTTGAATAGACATCCGGAAGTGTGTTATCGTAATTTTCGTATGCAGAAACACGTTTTTATGAATTTTTGTGATACTTTAAAAGAAAAAGGGTTGCTGTATGATGGGAAAAAAGTGAGTGTTGAGGAGGGTGTTGCTATGTTTTTGATGATTGTAGGGCACACTACACGATACAGTATAATTGGTGATAGGTTACACAAATGGTTTAAACGAGTTGTCAGGGCTGTTTGTTCATTTGGCATTGAACTAGTACGTCCGACAAATCAAGACATTGTGCATGAGCGAATTTTGCAGAAATATCCTTTCTTTAAAAATTGTATAGGTGCAATAGATGGAACACATGTTGCTGCTTGGGCTCCTGCATCGAGACAAATATCTTTTCGAGGAAGGAAAACTAATGTAACACAAAATGTGATGTTGACATGTGATTTTGATATGAAATTCACATTTGTGTATTCTGGTTGGGAAGGTACTGCTAATGATTCACGAGTATTTGTTGACGCTGTCACAAGGAGCTCAAACAATTTTCCAATGCCACGAGGAGGTATATTCTTATACTTCAAATAATTATTGCGAATTTATTTACAGTCACACTATGTAAGCCTTTTTTTCATTTTGCAGATCAATTTTACCTTGTTGATTCTGGATATCCAAACATATCAAGATTTCTTGCCCCCTATTGAGGTCATAGATATCATCTGCGTAACTATGTTGGACGGAGAAAGCTACGTGGAAAGGAAGAATTGTTCAATTATGGACACTCTTCATGCCGTAACATTATTGAACTTTGCATTGGAGTTTTAAAAACAAGATTTCCTATTTTCAAGTTGATTACCAATTATCCACTTAGTAGGCAAAGACAAATTCATACTGCATGTTGCGCAGTAAACAACTTTATATGTCAGGAGCACGCTTTAGATAAGTTGTTCGTACAGTATTCGGAGGAGAATATGGTGTTTCAAGATATCCCGGAGTCAAGTCAAGATCAAGAAGTCATAAATTTTGATGCTAGTCAAACAGCTCAAATGGGACAAGTTAGGGATCAAATTGCTACACAAATGTGGAATGACTATTCAAGACGTCGTATATGATTTCGTGGATGTAGTTTATATTTTGTTAGTGTCTACTTGTTTTGTAATGACACATAAACTTCGAAAAATATCTATTGAATTATTCGTATTCAGGATTTTGAATTATTCTAGTGCTTTCTCATGATTTGAACTGTGTTAAATGTTGTCTTCTGGTAAACAAGTGAATTATTTTGAAAGAGTGCATATTCGGGAAAGCTTAAAGTAAATTGTTGGGCTAAAATTGAAGTTGGTTACTAGTTTAAAATGGAAATAAAATTCAACGGCTAACATGAATTAATTACATAAAGTTCAACTAATACTATATTTAATATTATATTAGCATTAAACTATTCACATTTGTTGAATAATCAGATTTTTTGAATAAAATATTATTAAAAAAAATTTCTCAAAATTTCAAAGTAAACGCGTTTTTCAGTTTTATGTTTTCAGAAACAGTTTTCCAAAATGACAAAGAGAACGTATTTTCAGCAATTTCAAAACAGGCACTCAAAACACAAAACTCAAAATGATTTCAAAACTCAAAACACAAAACCGAAACACAAAGAGAACAGGCCCTAAGGTGTTTTTGAAAAGTAGTCAAGAAAACATAAATACGAAGTATTTTACAAAATAGTTTCTGTTCTTTCTTCATTTCCTCGAGGCCAAGCTTACTACTTTTCAATAATTAAAAAATAATGATCGTTTGTACACATTAATAAAATAAAATGAAAATAGCACCATAACTGGCTCGATCCAATCCAAACCCGACCCACCAGAAAATGAGGCTGTATCAAACCTAGCTGACACAAATTAAATAAAATTAATGTGTTTGAGGTTTCTGTTCCCCAAGAAGGGAAGCAGAAGGAATATAGCGTCGATTTCCAGGTTATGAAGTCAAAGGATCTCTATATATATATATATTAACCGGGCCCTTTTTTTTTATTACGCATTGTTAATTTTAGGCCCCGTTTGATACCAATTTTTTTTAAAATGCATTTTTCTCTCTTTTCTTTTCAACCACACATTCTTTATTAAAATAATATTACACGTAAATAAAAAAAATTTCCTTATTTTTCAACCACACATTTCCCATTAATTTACTATTTAAAAATACATTTTTACATAAAAATATCTCCCAAACACCCTCTTAATAAGTTGGATCAGTGCTAGCTCGAGTGATTAGAGCAAAATCTTACCAGGCAATAGATTTGAATTCAAGTTTTTTGATTTTATAATTTCTTGCATAGGTAATTATAATTTTCTTAATAATTTTTAAACAACTTGAAAACCTTAGTTAAGTAAACAACCTAATATTAAAATTTATTAAATAAATAATTAAACAAGGTTTCATGTCATTAGGTGAGCCATGAAAACGGAACAAAGATCGACGACACGAGTGCTGTCCAAAACAGAAAATCACAATATTTGCCAACAGACATTCTAATTTATTTTAGCAAATAATTAATTAGTAATTTGGTGGGCAACTGGCAAATCATGCAAAACTGCCCATTTTTTGTCATCGTTCCACTTGGGACTCTTCCTAATTTAAGATTAGAGAAATGAGATTAATTTCACATGACAAATTAGAGAGAGATGAGATTAGTTTTTACATGACCATAAATGTTATGTATGTTTGGGATTAATGATTTTCAGTGTGGAAGTATAAAAGTGGGCAAAGTTAAAGTTATAGTCGGTGCGCATCTATTTAGGCAAAGTTGTAGTCGATGCACATGCTTAAACATGGATAAAGTGAGAAATATCGTTCAATTAGCGCAAGTGTATACACCAAACTATTCAACCATTCGAGAGATGGAAGGTGCCATGTTTGAAGAATTGCAATACTTTAACGAGAATCATAAATATCATTGAACAGACAAATAATTTTTTTTTTTTATAATAAATTTGAATCGAGCCTATGTCATGTTTACAAAAGTAGTAGTAGTATGATTCGTGGGTATAACCTGCGTGTGCTATAACCTTAAATGTCCTATGACCTCTTTGCTTGGAGGAGTTCTTGGCCAAGCATTGGTGATTGGCTTGGCTCATGGACTCTAGCCTCAATTTTCATATCGAGTACTTCAAAAGGGTATATACATATTTAATGAGCTCATGTGAATCTCTCATCGACTACATGTATGATACATAGAAGATTAAAATTAAAAGAATTCTGCTACACGTACAGCCGGTACATGGATTCTTTACAGGATTTTTTCACAGGCAACACGCGTAGAAACAGTATTGACAGATGAAAAAAAAAAACCGACAGAGAAGATTGTGCCACAGCAGGTTCCTTTAAAAATTCCCTGTACTTAAAGAAAAATTCAAATATAAAACTGCATTCTTGTTGAAGCTAAAACACTATTTCAAGAACTTTATGCTTAATAAATTGCCACTGACAATAAGTATTGTACGTTAAGTGTCTACTACCAGAAAAGGTAAACGCATTAAATTAGTGCAATTTTAATTATTTTGTAATCTATAGTTGGTATCCGTGCTTGTCACACGTGCAAAGACTCGCATCGACGATGACTCAAATCCCTTTTGAATTCTGATTATGTTCACATAATTAAGAAACCTTTCACACCCTAAATCCTCCTACCAAACCAGTCCCACGCTTGATGCTCCCATGGCTTAATTTCTGCCACAAGCCCCATTTTTTGGAAATGAAATTGGGTAAAATAGTATTTTTATAAAAAAAAAAAAAAAGTAGTTGAAAAAGAAGAAATTTTTTTTGATTTACGTGATATTATTTTATGAAAAATTGTATGGTTGAAAATAGGAAAGAAAAAAATGTAATGGAATAAAAATTAATAAGATTCAAATAGGAGCTTAATTACGTGTTTTTCTTTTTCCTATTCCAGTTTAAGATATTGAGTCGCGTACTTGAATTTTGAGAGTTTGTTGGCTTTCATGAAATAGTGAATTATCTCATCTAAAGATATAAAATTATATTGAAGAGAGTTCAAATAATGTCTTATGTAAACACACACACACATCAAGTGAGAATCATTTTTTGGATGATTCTAACTCTGCTATATTTAATTATTTCAATAATATTTTGCTTTTCATTTTTCAACATGTATTTAATTTATTTAATAATTTGATTTCCGTCAACATACATGTATTCATCTTTATTTATGCATTTCAACGTTATTAATTCTAATTATGAGTTAATTAGAATTTTACATTCAAGAATGTATTTCATTTTGCATGTATCAATGTATGCTAAGTAACATTCAATTTTACTTAATATAATTTTTGGATGATTCTAGCCTTACTATAATTTAATTATTTCAATAATATCTTAATTTTTATTTTTTTAATATGCATTTAATTTATTTAATCATTTAGTTACCATCAATATACATTACAGATTAATTTTACTTGTGTGATGTCATTAATGTCAATTAATTAACATTCTTACTCATTTAATTAATATTCAACCATATATTTCAATGTTATCAATTCTAATTATAAGTTAATTAGAATTCCACATTCAAGAATGTAATTCATTATTCACGTCCATATATGCTAATTAGGGATATCAACGAGTCGAACTGAAACTCGAAACTTGGACTTGGCTCGAGTAAAAATGGTTCGGACTTTTTTATGTCCCAACTGAGCGAAGCTCTAGGCTCAACCCGAACTTTTGACTTGAGCCTTAGTGAGCCGAGTTACTTACTCTTATTATTATTATTATTATTATTATTATTATTATTATTATTATTATAGTCGCCTTTTAGGCAACAGCTCATTTTTTTTAAGGTTTTGTAGTTTTTTCTTATTTATTTTTCAAGCTTGGCTCGTTACTGGCCGAAAATGGCTCGTGACATGGGTCAGCTTGAGTGTCTCCTTGGTCGAGTCAAGGGCTCGCCCGAGCCAGCGAGCCAAGTTGACACCCATAATGCTAATTAACATCTAATTTTACTTAATTACAAATTATATAACATCAAATGAGAATTATTTTTGGATGACTATAGCCTTACTATAACTAAATTAAATCAATAATACCTTATCTTTTGTTTTTCAACATTTATTTAATATATTTAATAATTTGGTTACCATCAATGTACATGTACATTTTGACAAATTCATTTTACCTATGGGCTTTTATTAATGTATGAATTTCCTATTATTAATTCTCAATTAATTAATATTAACATTCATATTCATTTAATTCATATTTATCTGTATTTTTGCATTTCAGTGTTATTAGTTTTAACTCTAAGTTAATGAAAATTTCATATTCAAGAATGTATTTCATTATGTATGTCAATGTATGCTAATTAATATTTAGTTTTACTTAATAATAATTTTTTGGACTATTCTAGCCCTACTATAATTCAATTATTTCTATAATACCTTACTTTTCATTTTTTAATATGTATTTAATTTATTTAACCATTTAGTCATTATCAATTTACATGTACATTTGACAGATTTATTTCACTTGTGTGCTTTTATTAATGTAAGACTGTCCTATTATTAAGTGTCAACTAATTAACATTCATATTCATTTAATTAATATTCTTCTTTATTTATGCATTTCAGTGCTATTAATTCTAATTATAAGTTATTAAAATTTCACATTCAAGAATGCATTTCATAATCCACGTCCATGTACGCTAATTAATATCCAGTTTTACTTAACTGAAAATTAAATAAATAATTTAACATCCATTGTTACATTTATATTCCTTGATATTTAGGGGTGGATCTAGGAAAAAAATCAGAATGGGCTAATAAGTATAAAAAAAATATCGTACATAAAAAAATATATTTTACTTAAAGTTTTTCCCCTAATGGACATTTGGGTTGGAGGGATGGGCTGTAGCTCTAATTTTAAATTAATTAATATTTACGCATATTCTAATATTACTTTACAATACTTATAAATTATTCCATGATAATGTGCAATGTACATTTAACATTAACTAGTAACATAAAGTTTACTTTGAAAAGTTCAATGCAATATCGAGTACATTTACTGGCTCCATAAGGAAAAATTGTACCACTAGTCCTCAACCTTTTGGCTCCATAGAGATGCATATTCTAATATTACTTTATAGTACTTATAAAGCATTCCATGATATTTTTATTTTATTGTTGAATACTGACTGTGCAATTATAACGTGATTTTAATTTAAAAATGACAATGTATCTAATCTTTCCTACAATTCACAAACGGCCATTGCAGCTTTCAATTTCAAAGAATCCCAACAAACAAGATAAAACCCAAATAAGGCTGTTCTTAACCTTTGAATTGAATTTGGTTGTTTAGATTTCCTACTAAAGAGACTACTATTCAAGTGATTAATGACGGACTTCAGTTGTTAGGTACTTTGGGAAGGCATTAAATTCACTAGTAATGCATCTCAAGCAAACTTATAAAAAAAATCTTCATTACACACAATAATACTTAATTCATTTATACGGACCATTGTGATTAGATGACTCATCTCGGTTGACACGGTCTAATTTTGGAAGGCCAGTACGCTACTTCTGTAGGCCTTTTTTTTTTTTTTTTTTTTCAAAGATTGTTTGAAATGTACAGGTGAACCACGGGAATTTACAATTGAACTCGGTGCAATTCAATAATAAAGGCAAATCAGTCAATAAAATGGCTGTTTCAGGGCGGGCCAATGCACAAATGTAGGTTAATGAAAGGCAATGAGATCTCATCACTGGTTGTTAGGAGATGAGAAGTAATGGAATTGGATGGTCACCAAACTTTTGTATTGAATCCTTCTTCTCTGTTTTTTTTTTTTTTTTTTTTTTTTTTTTTAAATATTCGTTAATTAAATAAAAACCTCATTAACGCCCAAACTTCTCCTTTCCCTAAACAATTATTCATGGTCCCATATATAATTATGTTCAAATTATCCGAACTTAACTTAAATGCAATCAATCTTTACATAATTCACAAGCATCCCCTTTTCCCCTTTGTCCTTCTTACTCCCCCACTATTCCATTATTTGCACCTAGATTCGTATGCATGAAACTTACTTCGTGGGTTCTTCTCGTCTTCTTACACCATAAACATCAAGAATCTCTCTCCACACACACACACAGAGATCTGGTTCTTAGTTTTATGCCTATTAACTACAGAGTATAAATATTACCACACATACACATTCTTTCACCTTCTCACATTACCATAATCCTCCCCACATTACACAATCCCATACAATTATATGTATCTGTTTATTAATTCATATAATTCACACCTATTGTCCAAGACTTCCTCTTTTTCTCTCTCGAGGAGTAAATTCTCTCCTCTCCTCTGAAGCAAAGTTGCGGCAGAACTTTTTACCTTCATCCTTTTTCCATTGCTTTTTGATTCCTGGATTTCAGTGCGTTTTGCGTTTCGAGATCCATTGTTATAATCGAAATGGGTTTTTCAAGAATTAGTTTCACCAACTCCATAGAGCCTGTGCATACACCATTCCCCTCAAAAGCACAAATTTTGGGCACTACTGCGGATCATGAGTACTGTGACACCTATGAAACTGATGATTCCGAGGTAAAATTCAAGTCTTTTCTGTACAAAATGATCTGGGATTTTGGTTTAGCTTGTCTGATTTCACCTCGCCGGCGCCGGAGCTCGGGCAAGGAACAGATGGTTGAGGGAAATTGTGGTGGAAACATTTTGGAGCACAATAAGGCTTGGTTGCTTGCAGAATCTGGTGGATGCGGTGCAGAGGAACCACAGTCAGTGCACTCCTCATTTAGGCTTAGTTTCTGCTCTCAGGTGGAACTTGAGTCAATGAACGTAAACAACAGTTGTCCTTCCTCCACTGTTTTAATGGTGAATTTGGATAATGGATTGCTCTCTGATTCCAAGTCTAGAGAGTTGAAATGGAGAAGAATTGAGTCATTGGAGAGGAGTATATCTCCAGTGGCACACTCTTTGATTAGATTCAGCTATTCAGAAATCCTATCTGCCACTAAATGTTTCTCAAAAGGTACTGAATGAAGTTTCCTTAAAATTGTCGAATGATCTTCCATTTTTTTTTTTTCATTTTTAAAAATAATAATAACTTATTTTGTGAAAAATAATAGGTAGAGTCTTGGGGAGAGGGGCTTTGAGTTGTGTATTTAGAGGAAGAGTGGGATTTCTGAGAACTGCAGTGGCAATTAAGCGATTGGATAAGGAAGATAAGGAGTGTTCAAAGGCATTTTGTAGGGAATTGATGATTGCTAGTAGTTTGCATAACCAATACATAGTTCCTCTTGTGGGATTTTGTATTGATGCTGAGGAGGGCTTGTTTTTAGTCTACAAGTATGTTTCCGGTGGAAGCTTAGAGCGATATTTGCACGGTATCATTTCTCATTTCCTGATCTTTCTTCATTTAATAATGTAGTTTTATTTGTTATGAAAATGAAATTTTTGAGTGAAGGGCGCATTGATCATGTGCAGGGAAGAAGAGGAGCATGAAGGGTCGTCCAGCACTTTCATGGGCAGCTAGGTATAAGGTCGCCACGGGGATCGCAGAGGCAGTTGGGTATTTACATAATGGAACAGAAAGATGCGTTGTTCATAGGGACATTAAGCCCTCAAACATCCTTATTTCTTCCAAGAAGTCACCCAAGGTGAGTTGCAACTTCATTTTCCTGTACAATATTTTAAGGTTCAAATGTGATTTTTGGACCATATTAGGTGGAACTACTTGGGGATATTGGGTTTATTATGTCAAATATTAACCAGTATTTAAATTCATGTAATAACGTATGCAGTTATGTGATTTTGGATTGGCTACTTGGACTCCTGCACCTTCAGTGCCATTCCTTTGCAAGACTGTCAAAGGCACATTTGGGTATGTGCTCAATCAAGAACTACTGTAGAAGAAGCATAATATTGGTTTTTATGTTTCTAACTGAGAATAAACTAATTTTCGTGCTCAATAAACCTTGGGAACAGGTACTTGGCTCCTGAATATTTCCAGCATGGGAAAGTGTCTGATAAAACAGATGTTTATGCCTTAGGCGTTGTCCTCTTGGAACTAATAACTGGCAGGAAGCCAATCGAGTCAAAAAGTGGACCAGGAGAAGATAATTTAGTTTTGTGGGTATGTCATTGCTTTTATTTCACTATGTCGCCAAATTTTATGCAGTTCATTAATATACAAATTGTATCTTAAAGGTGAATAATCTGGCTTCATCTTTTTCAGGCAAAACCATTACTCCAGCACGGAGTAGTTGAAAAATTGCTTGATCCACAGCTGAAATTCACTGAAAAGAACTCAAATCAGATTGCTTGTATGATTCAAGCAGCAAGCGCTTGCGTTAACAGTGAAGAATCACGTAGGCCTAACATGGACGAAATCATTGCAATACTGAGGGGAAAAGATCCCAACTGCTTAAGACGAAACAAGTCTATTTCGCTGGGAAACAGTATCGATTGTTGCCCTCAGTTACAACGCTCGAGGAGTGAAATGAAGAGTCACTTTGCATTGGCCATGCTAGGAGTCGATTGAAAAGTCACTGCCGGTGAAAAACTTATATCTAAAATCCAGTATTTATTTTATATTATTTTTTTTCTTTTGTGATTTTCAACTCCTTTGGGAATCGAAAATAGGGGAGTTCTTAGGCTTAGAACCATCAAGTTTGAACTTGTATATAGAAATGGTAGTCTCATAACTGTTTCATTTGTATAGATCTGCATCTTCTTGTTTGTGCTCCCTGAAGCAGAGGATGACATGATTTCTTTACTAATTAAAGTGCAGATGCAATAATTTGAGAAATTAGTTTGACAATTAGGAGCTGGGATGTATTTTAGGCTCCAGATTTTTATGGTGGCCATGTGCATTTTTCATTGTTCTAGAAATACTTTAATGGTGCCATGTGCAGTTGATGCAAGACAATTTTGAAGTCATTAATGAGAGATCATTTACAAGGCTTCCACTTCTTAGGTAGACATAAAATTCTTGGATGGTTTTGGAATGGTCACGAATTGAATCCACAGGCATTAGTTGAGGATCAAGAAATCACTCGACCCTGTACATCTGTAACCTTGACAGTCGAGTATTGTGTTCCAAGGGTTGGGGTGGCTTGTATATCAAAGCAAAATGAGAGCTGAGTTTTAGAACATTATGAGATAGATCGAGTTCTTATCAATGCATATGATTTTCATTACTTCAAATGTACTCTACGATCGAGGTACTTAAAGCTTTATCCCACTTGTTGAAACCTTCCTAACCTTCCTATTGAAAAAAGAAGGCAACAGCTGAAAGTGTCATCATTTCACACATTCTGATCCATTCAATCCTTGTACAACGTGGCTAATCCTTATCAAGCCTCGTGTTGGCTGCACATGTTTTGAGATGGAAGGAGATATACAATCCCTTTTAGGTTTGGTGATTAAGAAAAGAATTGATTCTGAAAGGACAACTTTTGGACCACAAAGTAGGCATTAGGTGCTAAAGAAAGACTACATTCGAAAACTAGAATTAAAAAAGTATATGTATTGGTGTTGAAAAAATTATGTGGAAGAACAAGTATTGTCATACATGGAACGGTTGGATGGTCGGCTTTCAAAGAAATTGATGTAACTTTTGCGTTTGGTGTCCGTTTTGGGCCCATAACCCCATTTCGAAAAGGTAGCGAGCGTTTCGGATTGAACTCATAACTTAGCCGTGACATACGAGGATTTTTGGACATTTGAAATCGTTTAGTGTGTCAAAACAGCATTTTAAGTTTTTGTGTTATTTATTTTCAACATTTGTTATTTTCATTTTGTAGCCCAACCCATTTTTGGACTGCTGGCCCAGTAGGTTATCTTTTTTTTTTTTCATATTTAAAACGCTGAAAGACGCCTCCTAGGGTTTTCTTGGTTGTTCACGAAATAATAAAAGTTTGTTTCTGAATTCAATCCGTTTGGTTATTGTTGTCGTGTGTTTGTAGATTCAATCTACATCATTTTGGTATCAGAGCATGGTGCGTGGAAGAGGACGTGGTGGCTGTGGTGGCCAGATTGATGAAGTTGCAGATCTGTGTAATTAAGTTGAGGCGTTGACAATCCGATTTGATCAATCATGACGTGGGCGGCAGAGGTTGTGCAGAACGGAACACCTCCTGCTCCTCCACATCGTGCCCCAGCAAGTGATGGTGGAGGTGGATCTGAATCAGGGGAGAGGTCGGATGAGGAGACCTTGTCAGAGGCACGTGGCGATCGTGTTCAACAGCCTCGTGTGCAACAGCAGGACGCGTTTCAGCGATGGGAATCCGGATTCAAGGTTGATATACCTGAATTTCACGGTGGAATTGAGGCAGATGAATTCCTCGATTGGCTGGCGGCAGTAGAGGAGATCTTGGATTACAAAGAAGTGCCCGACAATAAAAGGGTACCTTTGGTGGCTACCCGTCTGCGTGGTCGTGCTGCTGCGTGGTGGCAGCAACTGAAGCAAAATCGGATCCATCAGGGTAAGGCGAAAATCCAGTCGTGGGAAAAAATGAAGAAACAGTTGAAGGCAGCGTTTCTTCCCTTTAATTATTCCAGGACTTTGTATCAGCGCTTACAGAATTTGAGACAAGGCAATCGATTTGTAGATACTTATTCCACAGAGTTTTACCAACTGATAGCGCGAAATGATGTGGGAGAATCAGAAGACCAGTTGGTAGCGCGCTAATTGGTGGACTACGATTGAATTTGCAAGACGTCCTAAATATGTTCTCGTCGGTATCTGTTTCTGAGGCTCACCAGCGAGCACTTCAGGCTGAAAATCATCAACAATGTCGTTCTGTAGTAGGCATTTCTGGTGGTCCATCTGGAGGTGAGGGTCAACAATTCGCCCCAAATCCCACATCTGGTCCTTCCCAATCCTTTACATCTGGTGGTCGGGGCGTTGATCGGAACACTCAACCAGTGGTTCCTCCAACCGCTAATCCGGGTGGCTGGGCTCCTTTTGGTGAACGAGGGCGTGGAAGTCAGTGTTTTGGTTGTGGTGGTTTTGGTTATTTAAGGAAGGACTGTCCATCTCATGGGCAGCCACGCCCAGGTTTGTTCATTGGAGGGACAACACAAGCCGATGTTAACGATCTTGTTCATGTGGAGAATGAAGAAGAAGAGGCTGAAATTGTGCATACAGGTGACACGGGGCCTCTTTTGGTGGTCCGACGGGCGTGCCTTACGCCTAAGGGGTCGTCTGAGGACCTGCAGCGAAACAATATCTTTCTGTCTATGTGTACCATTGGAGGAAAGGTGTGTAGGTTCATCATTGATTTGGGCAGTTGCGAAAATGTGATATCTAAAGCGGCCGTACAGAAGCTGCAGTTGAGCACCGAACCTCATCCTGCTCCCTATAGCCTAGCATGGTTGAGACGAGGTAATGAAATTCGTGTTACTAACCGTGTGTTAGTATCTTTTTCTATTGGCAGTGTGTATCGTGATAGTGTTTGGTGTAATGTGGTGCCGATGGATGCGTGTCATTTGTTGTTGGGTCGTCCATGGTAGTTTGATAGGGATGTGTGCCATGAAGGGCGTCGAAATGCATATACATTTACCTTTTTGGGTAAAAAGATTGTACTACTACCCTCCAAAGATACGCAGTGTCTATCTTCGGCAGGGGACAGTAGTAATCTACTTTTCCGATCTTTGTTTGTGCGTGAGATGCTGGCAGAAGGTGTTGTACTGTTGTTAGTGGGAACGGAGGCGACAGGAGTGTCGACAGTTCCTATGGCAGCCGAGGGGACGGGTCTTCACCCCAAAGCTGCTGCCTTGGTGTCTGAGTTTCATGATGTGTTTCCGGATGACCTTCTACAGGGTCTTCCGCCTTTGCGGGATATGCAACATCACATTGATTTGGTACCGGGCGCGTCATTGCCTAATCGCCCACATTATCGAATGAGTCCAGTGGAACATGAGGAGTTGAGGAGACAAGTAGAGGAGTTGGTGCAGAAGGGGTACATCAGAGAGAGCCTCAGCCCGTGTGCAGTCCCCGCACTCCTAGTGCCAAAAAAAGATGGGAGTTATCGGATGTGTATAGATAGCAGGGCCATCAACAAAATAACAGTTCGTTATCGCTTTCCGATACCGAGGCTAGATGACTTGCTTGATCAGTTGGCCGGCGCAACTGTGTTTACTATACTGGACTTGAAAAGTGGTTACCATCAGATAAGAGTCCGTCCTGGTGATGAGTGGAAGACAACATTTAAGACATGGGAGGGATTATTTGAGTGGCTAGTTATGCCGTTTGGACTATCCAATGCACCGAGCACGTTCATGCGGGTGATGAACCAAGCACTTCGACCGTTTATTGGTAAGTGCGTTGTTGTATACTTCGATGACATATTGGTGTACAGTGGGTCGGAGGAATCTCATGGTGTGCATCTAAGGGAAGTCCTTACTGTTTTACGCAAGGAGAAGTTCTTTGCAGCCACTAAGAAGTGCGTGTTCTATACCGATAGTGTTTTGTTTTTGGGGTATGTTGTGTCAGCCGGTGGGGTAATGGTGGATGCAGCTAAGGTTGATGCGATTCGACAATGGACGCGTCCACAGTCAGTTTCTGATGTGCAGAGTTTCCACGGTTTAGCATCGTTTTATCGACGATTTATTTAGCACTTCAGCACCATCATGTCTCCCATTACTGATTGTATGAAGGAGAGTAAGTTTCAGTGGACACCCGAGGCTGAAAAAGCATTTTTGATCATTAAGGAGCGTCTGACTTCAGCTACGATACTTGCGTTGCTTGATTTCGCAAAACCTTTTGCATTACATTGTGATGCCTCTAAATTGGGTATCGGAGCTGTCCTCAGTCAGGAAGGAAAACCAGTAGCTTATTTCAGTCAGAAGTTGGCAGGGGCTCGTGGGAGGTATATCACTTACGACGCAGAGCTTTATGCTGTTGTTTAGGCCATTTGCCATTGGCGACATTATCTGTTTCAGCGAGAATTTGTCTTATACAGTGATCATGAAGCCCTCAAGCATTTGTCAAGCCAGGAGTCTGTATCTGCCCGTCATGCATCATGGGTTACCTTTTTGCAGCAGTTCAACTTTGTCATTAAACATCAGGCTGGTTCTTCTAATCGTGTGGCAGATGCGCTCAGTCGGCGGCATGGGTTATTAGTGCGGCTACAGGTAGCGGTCACCAGGTTTGAGACCTTTGTCTCTCTTTATGCTGATGACCCTTATTTTGGCCCCATCTATCACAGTTTACTGCAGGGACCCCATTCCTCTTTTCTGTTAGAGGATGGGTATGTGTTTAGAGGTGTTCAGTTGTGTATACCAGATTGCAGCCTTCGTCTGAAATTGATTGAGGAGTTTCATGGTGAAGGTCATGTTGGGCGAGATCGTACTTTGGCTTTGATTAGCGCTTCATTTTTCTGGCCTACTATGCGTCGTGAAGTGGAGAAGTTTGTCTCACGATGCAGGGTGTGCCACGTGACAAAGGAGAAAGCCACAAATGCTGGTCTTTATTGATCCTTACCAGTGCCTTCAGCTCCGTGGACTGATATTAGCATGGATTTTGTCCTGGGTTTACC